TACAGACATATTTACCCGGGCGGCATGGACGTTTTATGCTCAGCTACTAACCAAGAGACTGGCAGTTCAAACCCAACCTTTCTCACGGAAATTTCTTTTTTTCCCTTTGGCATTTATGTAATCTTCTTTCATCTTTTTTTCCCTCCTGATGATGACAACTTAATTCCATCATCATAACATGCATACTGACTTACTTGAAGACCAAGATGTGCACAATTTTAAACTGAGGTCTGATTAAGGTCTTAAAAAACACTTAATAAAATAAGTACTCACATAGTTAGTAGTCCCTGGGTGGCGCGAATGGTTACCTGTTCAGTTATTAACAGAAAAGTTAGAGGTTCGAACCCATCCAGAGGCACCTTGGAAGACAGGCCTGATAATCTGCTTCTGAAAGGTCACAGCCTTGAAAACCCTACGGAATGCAGGTCTACTTGCACACACGGGGGCGCCATGAGTCAGAATCACTCAACGGTAGTAGATTTGAGTTTTTTTGGTTACTCACTTAGCCATCTTTCCATCTTTATCTTCAAGAAGTTCATACTTTTTCATGGTTCAAAAATTGATGATTTAGCCATGTTTTGCATGCACACAAACCTGTCATCTTTTGAGTTATCATTATGCATTTTGCACAGTACCTCACAGTCTTTTCTACATTTTACAATTATCTGAGTCACCGTGACAGAGGTCAAAATAACAAAGGAAATTTAGAAATATTTTAACCTGATTTCTTAATTTTACCAATATATCCCAGGTTAAAAAAAAAAAAGAGCTGTTATGCATGGGTAGTCATTACTACACAGTTTCAAATTTAATTGTCACTAATTTCTTCAAGTGCAGTTTTCAATTTTTATAACTCTTGTGCCCTGCCCACCTTTCCTCAGTCTGCAGCGAGACTCTAAGCTCCCTGAAGATGGGGCTCATGTTTCATGTTTCTTCTGTAGCTTCCATAATATTTCACACGGTATGGGTCTTGGATTGTCAATAAATGCTTACTGATGGATACCCGAAGAGACCTACTGATGGACAACGTGATCCATACATTCAGGGATCTTTAGCCTTAAGCTACACATATGAATCAGCTTTTTAAAATGAGTATTATTGATAATTTTTCCTTCCCATTCTCACAAATTATGATTTAAACAAATGCACATTTATTAGATTGATATTTGGAGACAGGATGAAGAAATAGCCTTCTTAGAAATAAGTGTGCAATATTAGATGTTTCCTGACAGAATTAGGTTTGGAAAAATGTGATACCATCTGTGGTAAATTCCAAGGCAAAAAGCAATATTCTGTGCTAGAGTGGAGTTTGGTGGCATACAAATAATTTGGAATTCTTGTCACTGTGGGTTATAATGGCTGCCTATTCTATTTAAATTCACCGTGAAAACCATTCTAATCCTGTGTGAACTCTTTTCACTAAAAAAGAGAATACGTTTAACCCAAGACCTCATCTTCTTCTGTGAGTTTTGCTGTACTTTTGGTTTCCAAGTTCTGTGAGATATTTTGATGGATCAAAGATATTTAGGAAAAAAGAAAAAAAAAATTTAGAACTCAAAAGATTTATTTCCACACCTTACCCTCATTTGTTTAAAGAATTTGCTGTTGTTGCTTGGTGTCAAGTCAGTTTTGACTCATAGCAGCCCCATGTGACAGAGTAGAACTGTCTCATAGAGTTTTCTTGGCTGTAATCTTTATGGAAACACATCACCAGGTCTTTGCCCTGCAGAGCCGCTGGTAGATTCAAACCCCTAAACTTTTGGTTAGCAGCCGAGCACTTATCTACATCACCATGGATCCTTATGTTTAAGACTGAGGTGCAACTCAGCAGTGATCTTCAAAGATATAACAGAAGATGTGATTGTGGATCTTGTAGCAGAAGCTAGTGAGGAGGGATGATGGCTCTAAGGACCAGATGCTTTACCTTCCCTCATTCCCACTTCTGAAATATAAGCATCATATTTCCCCCTGGCATTTGGATAAAAAGTTGGGTGAAAAGAGAGAGAACCCTAAATTGATTGCAATTAAATCTCCACCATATATTACTAAGGGGTTCATAATATAATGTGAATTGAGTTATAGAAAAGTATAGTCGGCTCCATTTCTTGCCCTCCTGAATGTGTAACCTGAGATTTGTAGGCTATTGCAGCCAAAACCATATGGGGCAGTTCTATTCACTATGAGTAGGAATAAACTCAGTGGTACCCAACACAACAACACCAACAACAGCATCTAGGAGGTGGTGGGGTTCAGAGAGGGATACCTGAGGGAGAAGATATCTGACCTGGGACTAAACAGGAGTAGGCCAGATGGACTAGGGTGTTCATAGGAGTCGCAAAGCACAAAACAGAAAGTATTCTCTGAAGAAGAAAGACTTGCTCAAAGGCCCTGAGGTATGAAATAATCAGGGGTGCTCAGAAAAAGTGTTGCCAGTTCAGCATTTTTTTGACGATTGAGCACAAAGTGTGAAGGCAGCGTTGAGGTCAAGAGGTATTTAGGGAGGGGATAAGTCCAAATGGATCATTCCTGCTACATTAAAGAAGTGATTTGTCCTGTTCACTAAACTTCATGTATTTTGTTTTATTAATCTATGATCTACCAGACAAAGAATGATTTCCAATTGATTAAATATCATTCCTGACAAATCTGATCTCACAACGTGACTTTCAACACTGAATGGAATTATGGACCATCAGTTATACCTTCTAAACTGGAATGTTGTATTGAACATCTTTCTGACAGTATCTCATCACCACTGGCCTTCCTCCTTTCAGTTTACCTAAAATATTATTACATAGTCTTTGATAACGGCTGGTCTCTATTCTGTATTTGTCACTTGAAATTTTAATTGGTTACACATATTCATTATCTCAAAATCTCTAGCAAAAAGCAGCAAACACCATCTTTTTAAACAAGTTTTACCCAGTGGTAGAGAATAATGAAACTATTTTTTGAACACACATACAACGATAGTATATGTTCAGATAGTGTTTTTAAATTTATAATGACTTGTTTGACCCCCACAACCACTCTGTGGTACAGGTGGAGCAGTTTATGTGATTTTATTTTAGTGATGAAAAACTGGGGGCCCTGACAGGCTCACGCCACCCCATATCCCCCTAGTTTAACATGTTTTAATCACGCTGATCTTTCAGTTTCTAAAATATGACTAGCTTCATCTTGCCCCAGGGCCTTTGAACTAACTCTTTTTTTTTTATTACACTTTTCCTTCCCCTAACACACTGAATCCAACTGTCCTTGCAGATGAGTATGGTCCCTTAAAATGGTCACCTTGGGAAGCCATATACTTATTTCTTGTGTAAACAATTTCAGGACTTGCCTTCAGAATCTATTTATGAGCCACATCAGAAAGCCCACTTTGTTAGCTTATAGTCACCCTTTGTTTTTGATCTAAAGTAGTAATATGATTCTGAGAGTGACACCCTTCTAATTTGCCTCAATAGGCTCTGAATGACATAACAAATCAAATCCATCTATAATGGAAGAATAGGGACAACTGTTGCATATCTTCAAAAGGAATGATCCATTTGAAATATGAGTAATTGAAGTATGAGTCTTAGGAATATTTCAGGCAAAGACAGTATCTTTGGGATAAGTGTGTGCTCTCCTTATGTGGCACGTTTGGATGTTTGCACGTGCTGATTCGAAAAGCTGCCTCAATGTCTTGAAGTCAAGTCTGATGGACTCATTAGTAAGATGACTTAAAAGGATCTATTTTTACTCAAATTCAGTAACACCAAACTACTTCTGCTTGAAACACGCACACACACACATACACAAATCAAAATCAGCTCTACTGGTGATATCTGAGTTTGACTACAGAAATCAGTGAGTTCAGAATTAAATCACTTATATTATCATGTTTTGATTTCATTGACTACGAACATATATGGGACACCAATTCTTTAGCTATTGACTCATCGTAGACAAATCAAGATAAAGGATTGCATTTACTTCTTGGGGGAACATGTCCTTTGGTCTCTTGTGAAAGATATTTCAGCTCCAACTTGTGTCACTGCCTACTAATAGATAAAAAAGACATCCAAGTAAAATGAGCCTGAGAAAATTAAACAGAATATTTTTTCTCTTATTTGGGTATCTAGGTATGTTAATAATTTGAGTAAATCCATATAAACAGAAGACATTTTAAATATTTTATTAGTTTTATATAGGTGATAGAAACAACAAAAGATCAACCAAAACAATGGTAGTCACTTGTTAAGAAGAAATATTCATCAAGCAATACTACTGAAACACAGAGAAGTTAGTAATAGGACCTGGGGCATGGAACTGTTAGCAGAAGAATTAGTACTCCATGATTTCCTCTCCTGCATTATTTCTATCTCCTCTGAATTTGGTAATTATACCTTACACACCGTGGACTCTCAACGAAGACAGATCAATAATAGACTATGACTTAAACTCTTAAGAGTAGGTGAAATACTCTTCCAGAAAAATACCCCAGGAAAGAAATCATTTGCTTCTAAGTTCATCTAATGATAAACTGATGTCTTACAGTCTCAAAATTAACAGTGGTTTAAACTTTCATTCTAGCATGTGTCCAATTGAATCTTAGGAAGATCACTGATTTTGTAATATTTTTTGGCAGCAAATGTCACACATTAACTAGACATACACACAAATAAATTTCTTACTCCCCATTTAAAATTTCCTATTTGTGAAATTGTTCCAACTTTTATTATTTTCGGAAATAATCAGTATTACTCTTCCCCATGAGATTTATTTGGTGGTCCTTTCCCAGGGCACGCTCACAGTGCTAAGTAGCAGTGGGCGTCAGTTTTTCATGAAAATGATCTCAAAGAATTGATTCACGGGACTCACTTTGGCTCACCATCTGTGCATCACGTGATGGGGGAATCTTTGAAGAAGGTGCATGCAGATAGCTTGAGAAGATGTAACAAACTTGGTCAACGTAATAAACTTCATACAGAGTCTTTTCCTCTTCCGTCTGTCAGTGGATATACACACGTCTCAGCTATAAGAAACTTGTTCTATTCATGAGCATAGCACAAGGGGCGATCTCAGAGGTTGCATAAAGAGTAATAGTGTGGGATACAGGTGATCTCAGTTTTAATTTTTGGCCAACCAACACATTGCTATATTGCACAAAAATAAGTCATTTAATTCCTTTGGGTGTTAGTTTCTTTACTGGTTAAATTTGTCTTAACTGCTTAATAAGATGTGACCAAAAAATCATATGAGGGATATAAATATACCTTGATTACTTTACTGCTTTCTTCTGTGCTTAAGATGTCTTCAAGGAAAAAAATTCAGATTGGAAATTCTCATTTAAGATACACTTGAGTAAAATATTTTCAAAATGTATAGTTCTACAATGACTCTGCTTAGCATTGTGTTACGTGCTGTCTTTCCTGACACTTAATTCATGTAACTAAAAGAAACACAGCCGTTTCAGAAACAAAAATAGAAATATAATTTCTATCATCATGATTCTTTAAAATAGGTTTAAAAATTTAATGCACTTGAATCTCAAAGGCTTTTGTGAAACTAATCAAACAGCCTTCTAAGAAATGATTTCTTGGCAGGAGTCAAGATTTTCCCAGGGCCTTTTTTGCGGAGGGATTTCAGTGGGGGCTTCTTTAAGGGTAGGGACCTTTTGGGGGTGTGTAGTGCTCTTGCTATAGCCACATGCTCATTGCAGTAGTACTTGTTGCTTCCTTCTGATAGTTGAATGAGCGTGCGTTCTGCGAGATCCATGCACTGGGCGTGGACCCAGTGACCGTCTTCATGAGAGCAGTAGATCATGGCGGGTTTGTTGAGTTCAGTTGAATAGAATGGTACCCAAGTGTTGATATCCACATCACAAGTACGGCAGCATGTGATCCAGTAGCCCGTCTCAGACTCGTCTTCCTCATCATCTTCATTATAGGTGTCAAATTCATCATCACCATCAAAACTATCTGCCTCTGCACTGAAACAAAATTCTTCTGAGTCTTCAAAGGGAGTGGAGTCCCCTGGGTCTTCTGTGGATGTCTGGCTGTTTGTGAATGTTTTCTGATCTTCGTTCCCATCCTCTTCAGTAAATTTCAACATATAGAAATAAAATGCTTCTGAAATAGCCTGCTTATTGTCTCCTGGTATCCCAAGGAAAACAGTTCCATTTCCCATGTTGCTTCCAAACCATATCTTGCTGTGCTTAATATCTGGGGTCCAATCTGGGGTCTCCATCTCCCGAATTTCTATCTTGTTGTCCTCTAAAGAGACTATGTTGCAGACCATTCTTTTTTTATCCTCAAGCTGATAGCCACCAACAATAACGAATTCATCATTGCTAGTTTGAGTCAGGATTGCGCTGGAGACAGAGATTCCTCCTGACAAGACTGTGCAACTCACAGCTGGGCTACCCAGGGGGAGATCAACGCTTATCCTGTACAGGTTGGCAGGGCGGATGTTATTGGCAAGTGAATGGCCTCCTAAAATGTAAATGGTATCATTTCTGGCAATGGAGACATGAAAAGATAGCCCATCCTGAAGTTCTGGAAGAATGTATGATGTACAGCACCCATATTCAAAATCCACCAAGAAAACGTGAGGCTGGCAGTCAACTAGGCTGTTCCATTTTTCTGTGGTTCTTTGGGCAGAAGGTATGTATGAACGTCCTCCAAAGAGAACACCCATACTTTTCCCCCGACTATACACCACATCAATGGAATGGCCATATCTGGCTTCGGGAACATCTCCTACTAAATCTTTCTCTATGCAGCGAAAAGTAACTCTTTTGTTGTTCTTGCAAACAGCAGATATGACATAAATCTTATCTGAAAGCTCATTGTTTGGCGTTTTCCCTCCATGGACAATGTATTGATGCTTTTCAGACTCAAAGCTGCCTTTGAATGTGCAAATGGCTGGGTAGCGAAGAGGAGGAAGATAGCACGAATCCTTGGAGAAAAATACAGGCTTCAGTTTGAGATGGTTATGCTTTATATCAAAATGGAAAACTCCAGTGGGGCAGGCTCTCTTAGGCCAACCTTTCTGGCCAAAGAAGAAAACTTGTCCATCAAACCGCATCAGTGAGAAGCCTGGTTGAATTAAGGCTATATTATTACTGATTGTTACCATCTGCAGTGACATATTTTCTGATCGTGGGTAGATCTTTTATCTGAAAGAATTAGAAAAGTAAATTGACTTACTGTATCTCTTCATAAAAAAAATCACTGTGTTTATACTCCCTTACATGTTAAAAGTATGTTAAAAATTTTCTCCCACAAGCTTGTGATGGGACTGAATTAACAGAGTCCAAGGTGCTAGGTATGCAAAGAACCACAGAACCTTTCTGCCTAATGTAATTCGAACAGCTAGGACATATTTCAGACGCGGACTAGCCTCGTTCAGAATTCTGGGAATTGTAGTCCTTTTTTACTTAAAGATTTACCACTCGTCAGCAGAAAGAACTACATTTCCCAAGAACGAGTACCCTGTGGCATGCGTGGTTGAGATAGTTTGTTGCTCCAGGAGTGGAGAAGCGTAGGACGGCTTTCTGAACAGAGACGTGAAAAGTGCGAAGTGTTTAGATGGGCGCCAAGGCGGAAAACTAGGGAATGGGAGGTGAGAGTCGTTGATATAGACCCAACATCCGGGTTACGGGGAGGTTACAGCGCCTGGACCCGTGTTAGGCAAACTCCAGCCCCGGTATTGCTGGAGCCTCTCCTGGGGACTCAAACAAGGTGACCCGTAGGAAGCACAGCTGCTCCAGGGGGAGCGGAGTGGCAGAGTTGTCCTTACTGCCTTCTGTCTGGACGCTTGGGGGCTTGACACAGAATTTAACCCCTGAGGATCCATACGTTGCTTCGGGGCGGGGGAAGGAAGAGGTCCCGATGTTACAAAAGCTATGACTATTTTATAGGACCAAAAGATGAGTTTCTGAATGCCTAGAGTGCGGGAGAAATTATATGATAATGATTTTTACCACTCCTAATCTTAGTTGGAATCTGCTCGACAGCAACTAACAACAATAGTCTTAGTAATGGAAATAACAGTAATTAGACTTTAGCGAGTACCATTTTAAAGGCCCTTTGCTTTATCAGTCTCTCTTATTCCTGTTTTTAAGGTTCTTTTAGGGAAGCACGGAGCCCTGGTGGCGCAGTGGAAGCGTTTGGCTGCTAACCAAAAGGTCAGCAGTTTGAATCTACCAGCCTCCTTGGAAACCCAAATGGGGCAGTTCTACTCTGTCCTATAGGATCGCTATGAGTCAGAATCCACAGGACGGCAATGAGTTTGGTTTTTAGTTGGTTTTTTAGGGAAGCAGAGAAGGTTCTGACACATATTTCTGTTTTCTTGGTAGGAAAACAGAGTTTAGTGGTCCTTATTTCAAATCTCTTTTCAGCCGAAGAACTTTGACCAAAGGAATTCTTTGGTAATTCTTTAGTAAGCTGGTACTAAGCAAAGAAGTGCCAGAATTAATGAAGGCTTAATATTTGTATTACAACATTTACAAAAGGTATTCACCAGATGAAGTAAGCTTGATAAATTATTTTGTTATTATTACCTACCTTAGAGAGATGTCAGGAGCCTTAGTGTGGAATGCATTCCCTGTTTGAAGAGTGAAGGCTTAGGCACCAAAGTTTAAAGGAAACAAAATAGCACAGATTCCTTGACTTTTAAGAATGAATTGTTAATATGCTTCAAAAACTGAAAAATAGTGGCTAAAAGTATGGACTCTGAAGGTTGAATGGCTGAATTCAAATCCTGGCTCTGTCACTAACTAACTACATGACCTTAGCAAGTTATTTAGCCTTTCTGTGCGTCAGTTTCCTGGTCTGTAGAATGAGATAAATTTACCTACCTCAAAGATTGACAGAGTAGAACTGCACCGTAGGGTTTCCAAGGAGTGGCTGGTGGATTTGAACTGCCTACCTTTTGGTTAGCAGCCTGAGCCCTTAATCACTGCACCACTGGGACATTAGAAGATATAGTTAGCAAATCAATACATGTAAAGCACTTAGAACAGGGCTTTGCACAGAGTAAATGATAGTTACTGTGTTTATTTACTATGTTTATACTTGAATTTATCGAAAGTGAGGTTGTTAGTGCGCAATTACCTGTCATGCAAGATGATACTTGTAATGTTGAAGATGATTAGAAAGGGCTTTAGGAGCTGAGGAAGTGGTCAGTGGTCATAGATTGATAACATTTTGGACTAGCAAGAATGGGATAAATATATATGATGAGGGGTCTGGTGTCAAGTTCAATTTAAAAAACAGGAAATATTTCATTCTTCTTGCTACCCTTTTTCTAATCCCTCATTTAATATGCAGTCTTTGAGTTTGGATTGTCTGAGTCCAATCCTGCTCTAACACTTAGTTGCTGTGTAGCCACCTTGGACAAGTTATTTTCTCTTTCTCTTTGTTATTTGTACAATGAGGATAATATTAGTACATATTCATTGGGTATAAATGAGATAAAGGAAACTTGAGGAATAAACGAGATAAAGCAAACTAAAACCAGTTGTTGTTTAGTGGACTCTGACTCATGGTGACCACATATGTTTCAGAGTAGTACTGTGCTCCACAGGGTTTTCAATGGCTGATTTTGTGGAAGTAGATTGCCAGGTCTTTCTTCCGAGGTGCCTGTAGGTGGACTCAAACCTCCAACCTTTCCATCAGCACCCAGCATGCTTACCATTTACACCAAGCAGGGACTCCATAAATGAGATAACATATGTAAAGCACACAGCAGTGCCTGGCATAAAGTTAATACTTAATAAATGTTAATTGATACACTATTTATTTTTATTACCCCATAAAGGTTCCTTGGACTGTTTAGAATCTATGGTCCCTCTAGTGAGATGTTGGTGGGGTTTTTTGTTTTGAAGCATTTCTGTAGATAAGGTGTAATTAATTGCTTAATATCCTCTTAGACTTAAGATTTTTAGTTTACTTCAAATGATTCGTGATGGGAGATTCCTCAGGGTGTGATCTTTTAATCTAAGTTGTCTTGTGGGTTATATTAAATTAAGGGAGGAAATGGTGAATGAGAAGAATTACTACCAAAGTCATAAAGCAAACCTCTTTCTTCCTCAAGCCATGGTGGTGTGTAGTTCAGCAACTTACCCCGCTTGTGAAATAACCTGGCCAAGCATTTCATTTATTCATGCCCTGTCGTGAAAAGAAGACATCTGTGCAACTAGCAAAATGCTATCCATAGCAATAAATACATGGGGTTGCTATGAGTCAGAACCGACTCGACGGCACCTAACAACAACAACATAGGAACCAGAAGGAAATATTGTTGACCCTCAACTCAGTACATGATTATGCTCAGCACGATGAGTGATTGTTCTCAGAGAGTTGCCCATTTTTGGGTTGGAGGGAGTCCTGAAACCAAGTCTACTTGTTTCAAACACGTATGAAGACAGTTATTGGGATATAAAACAAGCCAAACAAGGATAATGGATCCCAGATCCCAAGGCGATAAACATGCACTAAGAACACTTGCTTTTAAACAGCAAGCTTTTTAAAGACAGTTTTCATTGTAGCCTGTTAGCTTCCTTATAAGGTTGTCATAGACATTTTGGCTTCTCATAAATAAAAACAATTATTTCATATAAAACAGAACCATTTTCTTGGGCAAGACATAAGGAAGACTGCCCATGTTCATAGCTTGGTCAAGGTCCCTAAAGATTTTTGAGACAGAGTTTCTGTTCTCCCTTTGATGCCTTGCTGTTGGCTCGCTTTGTAATATCAGGGCCCTAAAAACAGTGGTAAAGTTTATTACTACTGAGGTGAGTTACCTTCTCTTGTAGTACAGTTCAGGTATATGTGTATTTATTTTCTTTTTAATAAAACTTTTTTTTATTATGGTAGATATATAAGTAACAAAACATTTGCCATTTCAGCAATCTTCACATGTAGAGTTCAGTGAAATTAAATATGTTCATCGTGTTGTTCAATGTGTATTTAATTTTTAATCACCTATTTTAAACCGTGGCCAGATGATTTATGTATTTAAAGAACAAACAGGAACATTGAAAGTGTTTTCACATTCTTTTGCCACATTTATGTAGTTTTTGAAGTTTTACTTTACTGACTTGAATATCTTTTTTGCTTGAGTAGACTATTGCATATTTTCCATGGTTTTAATATGACTATATTAGCTTCAGCTTGGTTTTTAAAAGAGTTTTTAAAGGATTATACTAGCACTAAAATATTCTACCCGAGCATTTTTATTTAAGTAGTCTAGACAAAAACAGGAAGATATTTTTAAAAAACAAGACACTGTTCTTCAACTGAAGGAAGTCTCAAAGTCAACACATTAAAGACTCTTTCTCAAAGACAGAAATAGAGGACCATTAAACTTATACTATTTCCCCAGCCCCATGCTGACATTCCTCAGCAGGGAGACTTTGATTTATTGTGAAGCTAGGGCAGAGTTGGGAATCAAAGGAGGGCTAATGGTGTGAGGTCTGGGTTTGTAGTTTCTTACATCTAAACTGAATTTTTTTTTCTTTTCCTTCCAAAGAAAGGTAATATTTTCTGAAGCATTCACTCTTACTGACAAGTATTGTCCGAGTTTTCCTGATTGCTCTGAAGTAGCAGGTAACTTCATACGACTGCAGGCATTTAGTGCATAAATTAATACTGTCTTGCATGGTCAATCAGGTTTGAAGCATACATTATTTGATTTTTGCTGGCATTAAAACTAGGTTTAGGTTTTCCCTCTGACACGTATGCCAGAGAAGCACGTATCCATCAGGATTTGTACATAGTGCTCTGAAGGCATAGGAATTAAATCCTTGCTGCAGTCTAAGACCAAAAAGCCACAGTTTCCAGATAGTACATCATCCCTGTCCTGTGTAGACACCCGCTCCACCTGTAATTCACACACTACTGAAGTGTGGTATCACCTTTCCTTAAAGTTTACAAACGTAGGCTCCCATCTTTTAGCTTTGGTAGAAATCAAGGTATTGGACCTACCTGAAGGCCAGCGGGGCTGTTCACCCCTCTCTGAATGTTTGCCGCTAAGCCAGGTGTAAAATGTCAGCACTTGGGACAGATGCTCTGACTGCCCACTGTGACTGGCAAGCCGAAGGCTGACAGTAAAGAGAGCGTGTGTATGTGCCTACAAGTGTTCTAATGAACACAGAGCTAACGGGAGTAACTGACTGTGACTTTTTTTTTCCTCTTTAGATGGTTGAGGGAGATATCCACCAGGGTGTACCCTCAAGATTTAACCATTTCATTACTAGTGAAGAGTGGAAACACAATTCAGTATTCGCTTGGAAAGAAAAATAAATGCTGGTTGAAACCTGTTTTATTTTTTAATTAAAAAAATTTAGAAAAACAGACAAAACATACAATTACCATGATTTAACTTAATACTGTCGTGAATCGAATGGAAAATTATTTGCTCTAAAGCAAAGACCACTAATACCCATGCCAGTCATTTTAACTTTGAATTGTTCCTCTCTGGTCTCATTTAATACAAGGCTGAAAAGGAATTCTAGTTTTTAGAGGCTTACTACCAACTTAATGACGGTAAGCTACTGTGTAATACTGTATGGTGTAATGATTAAGAGAATGGGCTTTGAAGTCAGGCTAACTTGGTTTTCTCTGCTAGCTTTATACTTTTTCAGATGGAGTCATCTTAATCTGTAAGCCTTTGTTTTCCCATCTCTGAAATGGGAATAATAGAAATATTTACCTCCTAAGATTGGTGCAAAAATATTAAATGAGATAATGTCTGTAAAGCACTCAGTCAAGGTAGATACTCCACTGTGGTCTTAATAGCAAGAACTATCTTGGTAGCCTACCCCACCGTCACCCCAAAGTTTTGTAGTTAAAGGAAGAATAAACCAAAGGGTTGAGAACCGATGTGGCAAGAGCTGACTTAGTTTTCAAATAATTCATTAAAAACAGTTATATCAAGAGAAATACATACCACCTATAAACACATCACCTAACCATAAAACTTTTCATTTCTTTGTTCTCTTTTCTATTTTTTATCCAAATATGTGCACATTTTTGTCTAGTTGTATCCAGAATGCATTTAAATGGTTTTTGTTTGTTTAATCTAACATTATTTCATATACATTATGAACTGTATATTTTAATTTCCATTGTGTCACCTTTATAATAGTTAATAGTTGCATAAAAGTCCATTAAATATATCATAATTTATTTAACCATTCACTATCGTTAGTCATTTAATCAATTTCCATGTAGCTTAGATGATAGAATGCAATGATCAGAGGTAGACAGATCTGGGTTGGAGTTTTAGTTCTGCTACTTACATACTAGCTGAATAACCTTTTTGAGCTTCAGTTTCTTTATCTCAACAATGGGGATGATACCTACCTTATTGTGAGTATTAATAGATACAAAGCATCTGATAGGTAGAATGTACTCGGTAAATCTTGCCTACTGATGACGATGCTATAAATATATTTGTATAAGTGACTTTATTTTCTTTTGCAAAAGTTTAGGATATATTTCAGGATTTATTTCTTTCTTAAAACTGTTGAGTAGCTCAGTTACTTTGTTGATCCTCAGTTGAAATGTTGATCCATCCTTTAAGAAAGCATTGTCATCTCTTCTAGTTATTTCCATGACAATTGTTTTTGCTTGTCTGCAAAAGGATATTGGGTTATTTCCCCAGAGTATTTATGGTATCATATAATGATCGTGTATTTGAAATTACAACAAACAAAAACAATAACAGCTCTCATAACGCTGATGTACTGGGTATCTTCATAATAAATTTAAAATAAGAACAACATGAAAACCACGGGCAAGTCTAACCAAATGTTTTTGCCTTTGATTTTACTAACAGCAAAACACAGGTGGTTTGTAGCAACGTGTTGAGTTGCTGAATGGGTTAGTTGTCTTCTGAAGACTGGAAATTAGCAACGGATTTGGAAATGGGTTTTAAAACCCTGAGCCCTTGCCACACCATTAGACTTGTGGTAATCTCAGCCAAGGTGCCTGATCTACCAAGGTCTTTAGCATAGAAACTAATTATTGAGTAGCTACTGTGTACAATCATGTGGAAAATTAGAAAAAATAAAAATCACAGACACAGGTCTTACCATTAAAGAATATATGTGACAGTAGAAAGACGCAAATTTTAATTGTGGATAAACACACTTTACATTCTTCCTACATTCAGCCTTTCTTAAAATCACTAAGAGGGAAATCACAATCATAGTTACTCAGCCCATTCTTAAACCTTGAGGCAGAATCTAATTCAAACTCCTAGTGAAATATAAAGGAGTCCCTGGGTGGTGCAAACGGTTAACTGTGTGACTACTAGCTGATAGGTTAGCTGTTTGAACTCTTAGAAGACAGGCCTGGCGATCTGCTTCCGAAAGGTCACAGCCTTGAAAACCCTATAGAGCAGTTCTACTTTGCACACGGGGTAACCAGGAGTTGGAATCAATTTGATGGCAACAACATACTTCCATAAATCAAGACAGTGGACAATTAAAGAACACAAGTTGGTGTAATTATAGAATAAAATAAGCTTTATTCCACCGGGGGAGATACAAGACCTAGTAGTGGAGTATAACCTGTTGAACTTGTTGCCATTGAGTTGATTCTGACTCATAGTGACCCTATAGGACAGGGTAGAGCTGCCTGATAAGGTTTCCAAGGAATGGCTGGTGGATTCAAACTGCTGACCTTCTGATTAGCAGCTGTAGCTCTTAACCACTGCACCAGCAGGGCTCCAGTAACAGGGTATACTGACATAGTAAATGAACAAAAAAGGAAGAATAATTGGGGAAAAAAAAATAGAATGTTAAACATGGTAGACAACTTCAGGTCCAATCCCATTGTTTTTACATTTAAACTAGCCAGAAAAGTTAAATAACTTCACAAAGGTCACCCAGCTTCAAGGGTGTATGTACGTGGTGGGGGTGGGGAGAGGAAGGGGAGAAACACTGTTTTGTGAACTTGTGACAGTTTTCAAGAAATGCAGTGCTCAACCCGTGTTTCTATCCCCATTTTATAAATGGGGAAGGAACTTAAATTGTCACTCAGTGAGTTAACAAGTGTTTGCAGTAAGGTCAAGGGCAGATTCTCAGTGTTAGGATAGACGTCGACAATTATTTCTCTTTTAATAAGTGGCTAATTTTTAAGGAAATAATATAACTAGTATCGGAAAGGGAGATGTGTGGCTTGGTTGAGTCACACCCTATGAACCACGACTGAAACTGGCAAAGAAAAGAGGAAGGAAAAGGAAATATATAGAAGGACATAATCTACAGTTACTATGATGGATTTCTAAGAGGAGAACATGACAAGTGACTTGTCATTTTTTATATAAAGGAATTGATTAAATATGGCCACCTGACCAGAATGACTGGTATTTTCCTATAAAAATTCCATGGTCTTTGATTTAAGGTGGACTAAATATGTTTTCTGTAAAATAAAATGGAGGCAGAGAGGAGTTTTGCAATGTTGTGCTGGGAATAAATCTCTTAAAATTTATTTTTAGATGAGGGATTTTCTCATTTTGTTTTTTATTTCTACTTTTGAGTATAGAAAAGATGTTAACAAAAAGATTTTGTGTGTGTATGTGTGTGTTGTGAACATTGACGCAAAATTGCAAATAAAATACTGAAAGAAATTGGAAGCTAGGGTAGCACTGTACTACTTCTTAAAGGCCATTTTTTATCCTACAGTCATAGGAATTTAGAATTAAAAATAGCCAGGAAACACATCTCTAAAATCTTATTTCTTTTAAGAGAATGCTAATACAGAGGTTGATTTTATTTGCAAGATCTGGCATTTTGAAACACTTAGAAATGAATCCCTACAAGCAGAGTTGATTTAGTTCCCTTGGTCTACACCTGCTCCTAACCAGCTGTGCAAGTTTTGCTTTAAAGTAGGTTTTCTGGTGCTGTACCAGTGCCGTGCCCTGTGCAGGTGGCTGGCAGGCCAGGGAAGTTGAAGAGAATTGGATCACTTTAATTAAGAGTGGGTGCCTATGTGTCACAGTTGTTATGCAATACAGATAAAAATAAGCATTAATAGGACATTGCATCCCATGTGAAGGTGGGGATTACATTTGAGCTAATAAATCTTTTATGATTGAAATATTATTGTGTGAGATATATACTATACATACATACGTGTGTGTGTATGTATGTATATATTTGTTGTTGTTAGGTGCCGTCGAGTAGGTTCCGACTCATAGCAACCCTGTGTATCACAGAACAAAACACTGCCTGGTCCTGCGTCATCCTCACAATCGTCGTTATGCTGGAGCCCATTGTTGCAGTCCATCTCGTTGAGGGTCTTCCTCTTTTTTGATGATCCTCTACTTTACCAAGCATGATGTCCTTCTCCAGGGACTGATGACTCCTGATAACATGTCCAAAGTATGTGAGTCTCGCCATTCTTGCTTCTAAGGACCATTCTGGTTGTACTTCTTCCAAGACAGATTTGTTCTTTTGCCAGTCCATGGTATATTCAATATTCTTCGCCAGCACCATAATTCAAAGGCATCAACTCTTCTTCAGTCTTCCTTATTCATTGTCCAGCTTTCACATGCATATGAGATGACTGAAAACACCATGGCTTGGGTCAGGTGCACCTTAGTCTTCAGGGTGACATCTTTGCTTTTCAACACTTTAAAGAGATCTTTTGCAGCAGATTTGCCCAATGCAATGCTTCATTTGATTTCTTGACTGCTGCTTCTGTGGGAGTTGATTGTGGATCCAAGTAAAGTGAAATCCTTCACAACTGTAGTCTTTCTTCCGTGCATCATGACGTTGCTTATTGGTCCAGTTGTGAGGATTTTGTTTTCTTTGTGTTGAGGTGTAATCATACTGAAGGCTGTGTGGTCTTTGATCTTCATTAGTAAGTGCTTCCAGTAATACATGTAAAGTTGATTTAGAAATGCTGCTGCTTTATGGATTCACAGCTTTATCAGGGCCCTGGAAAATATGTTCACTGAAACCCTCACTGTTGTCACCCATAGGTCACTGAAGCAGTTGATAACATTTCTGAGGACAGGAGCTCAGTTTTGAACACGGTTGAAGTATGTGTACAGTACATTTTTCTTAATAAATAGACTAGAGATAAGTTAATGGGCTTATAGGAGTTTTGTTTGGAGGTAAAGGTAGAGTGTTTACTCGTGATTATACACAACTCTAAATTTTTCAAAAACGTGAATAAAGAAACAAAAATAGTATAGAAAAGGTAATCTTTCTGATTTCACAAACAATAGATTTTCTGTAATTTGTCTTCTGAGTACACCTGGCAGGTTCCATATACATAGGTAATCTGTTTTTTATAAAAGCAATAGGGAATGAGCAGGGAGAGAAAGTCCAAATGCTTAACTGTTTGCATTTTTCTTTGTTTAATGGAATTAACTATGTAATTGAAAACAGGCTAATGCTCAGTTGACCTGTCTCAGTGAGTCAGTGCAGACATTTCTGGATTACTTAAACAGCTGGGAGGAAGAGTATGTTTTGGGGAAATAAAATTGATTTTATACAGTCTGCTGATGAACAGCAAGGCTTAATGAATGATAGCCTCAAGAAACCTCATTACAGTAGCTTGGATGGATGAGCAGGAAAGAGAACCAAATTTTTTCAAGAGAAGGGTTTCTGCTTAAACATGTAATTTTATAGATGAGTATTATTCCCATCCCCCAGAGCTTTCTGCAAGGGGAAAACAAAACGCCTGAGCTCCAGTATTCCTGGTAAACTCTAAGTGATACTTTTCTTTTTTGAAATCTCTTTTGCATTAATTGGCTTATTCTTCTCCTCCTGCTCTCCCCCTTCCCCCTTTTACACTTTTATGTTAGAATAATTATAGATTCACAGGAGGATTCATAGATTGTAAAAAAATGTATAGGGAAATCCCATGCACCCTTAGCCCAGACTTCTCCAATGATAACATCTTGCATAAAAACCAGTTTCCAGTTGCCTTTGAGTCAAATCCAACTCATGGTGACCCCGTGTGTGTCAGAGTAGAATTGTGCTCATTGGGTTTTCAATGGCTGATTTTTCAGAAGTAGATCACCAGGCCTTTCATCCGAGGTGCTTCTGGGTGGACTCGAACCTCTAAGCTTTTGGTTAGCAGCTGAATGCTTCACCATTTGAACAACTATAGTACAATGTGAAAATTAGGAAACTGATATTGACACCACCCACAGAGCTTATTCAAACTTCATCAGTTATACAGGCACTCGTTTATGTGTATGTGTGTAGCTCAGTTTTATCATGTGTGTAATCTTACATAACCACCACTACAATCAAGATATACCACTCTACCATCACCAGAAGACTCCTTCATGTTATCCTTTTATAGTGACACCCATCCGCTTTCGCTACCCCCAATCCAAACCAAAAACCAGACCCGTTGCTGTTGAGTTGGTTCCAACTCATAGCGGCCCTAT